TATGTATATAATTTATGTATATACATATACATACATATTTCCATACATATATACATATATGTACATTATAAATATAAACATGTGCGTGTGTGTATGCAAAGGCTTTGGAATAGATCACCTTCAGAGATTTTAACTTCGACTCTTGAAACGTTCAAAAGATCAGCTAATACATTTTAGTACATAAATAACTGCTGATATAATACTCGAATTTTCCACAGTATGTGTGCATATATCTGCACATGCACACGCCCCCCCCCCCCCCACACATACACGTAAGGACAAACATTTTCCTTTAACAAAAAAACTTACGATCCGCGGAGAAGCCACACAACAGTGGTAAACACAGACCGCGTAGCGACCGTGAAAGAGGTCAGGAGCCTCTCTTCTCTAAAGGGATTCCACACAGATAAACAGAGGGTTGATGCTGTAGAAGCATATGTATAGAGGGAGGGCACAAGCATATACATCGAGCGTGAATATACCATAGAGAAAGTTATATCATAATAGGACTTTGTAAATGAATTTAAGCGTCCGGTATGTTATAGCGACCTTATCAAGGCCAAAGAAGATACACATCATAACACGGCGCAGATTATCTATTTTATATTATATACATATGTATACTTTGCGCATCATATATTAACTAAATAGACCAATCCATTCATAACATCACAACGCAACCTTGTAAACTTGTAAACAAACCTTTACGCAGTTAGACTACTCGGCGAATTCCACTAAAAATAAACCATTCTTTCAGATACTGCTACTGTTGTTCATTGCCGTGTTTATGGTCCTGTCCCCTGTTAGCGCTCTCGTCATCACCAAGAAGAGAAACTTTCCTGGCGAGAGACGCTTAGGAATTACAAATTATGGCCAGCATGAATTTGGTGCAAATGGTTTCCGTAGAAGAGCTCATTACAGTAAGTTCAGTGTGTTCATTTATTTGTTGTAATTATTATTTTTATTATTTCTGTCATTATTGTTGTTATTCTTATTCTTATCCTATACTATAATAATAGCAATTTTAATGGTATTACAATGTTACTACTAATATCATTATCATTATTAGAGTCATAATTATCATTATCTTTTTTTAATACCCTGAGGTTTTGATTTGTAAATATGTGATTTACATGTCAAAACACATGTGAAAATTTAATAACTTCTTTTTTTTCATCTGAGTTGGTCATTTGTCGTTTATCTTTTGTTTTTGATGTTATAGGCATTTATTGTACGTCCTTTGCGAAAGGAGAGTAAAACCCATAATTTCTTCTTTAATTACAGGACGGGGGTAATGAGACAATCCGCCTGTTCAAAATATTAGTAAGTACAATATTTTCGTTACTAGAATATAAACTAAACTCAAAATGACAAACGTTTGTAAAAAAGATATAAATATAAGTATAATAATTTTGGAACTGCAGTATAAACTAAACCCAAAGCTCATAATATTTGTAAGGACACGTAAGCATAATCATTCTGTAACTACAGCATTACCTTTGCTCAATATTAGAAGAAGAAAAAAGAAATGCCTCTGTGAAATGCAGCAACAGACCACTTATATTTCGTCACAGCCTAGAGGGGGTCCCGTGGTTCTTTCACGTTTCCGAATGAGATAATTCCCAGTCAGGAGACAATAAGCATTTTCACGGGCAAATTTTCCGCTGCTCTTTTTTGTTCAAATTATGTTTTAATTGATAATTACTATAGTAATACAAAATAAGTTTATTAATTTGAAAAGATGACTAAAAGGCTACTTGCTGTTTGTTTACAGGAGCCACGTTTCTCCGTCCCGCGACTACAGTAAAGAGAGAGAGCGAGAGAGAGAGAGAGAGAGAGAGAGAGAGAGAGAGAGAGAGAGAGAGAGAGAGAGAGAGAGAGAGAGAGAGAGAGAGAACGAGAGCGAGAGCGAGAGCGAGAGCGAGAGCGAGATATAGAGCTCGCGCGTGTGTGTGTGTGCGTATGTGTTGTGTGTTGAAGTTGTTTGAATTTGACACTAAATACAAAACATATATGACATTACGACATATTTTCTGAAGCGAGGTGCATGGATGTTTCATAGAAAAAAGATGATTATGATTATAAAGAGCTTTCATGATGACACTAAAAACAAAGATATGGCATGAAGCATAAACATAATTGTAAAATTTGAAAGTGTATTCTAAAAAAATCGACTTTATTTCAGAGATGACGTTGACAGACCCTCCCAAGTAGCCTGAGTCATGACACCGAAACTTATTGTTGAAATTACATTGTCTCAGAGAAGAGACGATGACTTAGATCGTGAATAGAATGCAGACTGTGATTTTTATTTTGGCTTATTTGATTTTTCAGTTATGTTATTTTAACTGGCTTTATGTTTTATCTTTAAGTGAATAAGTGTTATTAAAACCTAGTCTTAATGTGTGCTTGTATGTTTGTTCTATTTGAATGTAACATTTTTTTTCTTTTATTGAAGTTATTATAGAATTTATATTTCTATATAAAAACTACGATAAAG